TGATTTTATAGTTCTAGGTACTGTCTCCTAAAGTATTAGGAAGGAAAATCCAACTGAATACAAGTAGCTCTAAAATGCGAATCAGTTGTATTTCGGTGAGATTTTATAACCGAATGCAATAATTTCTTCAACACTAAAGACCGAAGTACGATCTTCTGCAGCGATGTCTTTAAAATGTTTACGAGAAACCATGGACGAAGGTTCTGTGAAAAAAAGACAATTTCTCCAACTCAGAAATTCACGGGTGAGGATCACAAGCAATGCAAAGCTCGCAGAATATCGAGGGGTTCAAAGCTTTTGCTTTTCAGCTGGGAACTTATTTGAAAATTACACCAACTGTTGGAGTTTCACTCGATTCGAGTTGAATCCAAGTCAATTTTTGCTGACATCGGAGAGGAGTTTGCATGCGACCGAATTCCTAGGTTTCGTGTACAAGGAGAGGATTTGCTAAGACATGGACGGGCTGCCGTTTCGCGACTGGTATTAGTTTTTCTGTGCACCATTACTCTTCACCACCCTAAAGATGTTAACCATCTGATCTGGGATTCAGTCATCTTATTTGTGGTCGCCTACCAAGACCTCTGACGCTCGACCAGCTGGAAATTCGATCGTTTACGCTGAGTGACACATGTTCAGCTGAGAGGCAATAAAGGTCGCCGTTTCTACTGATGGAAACTCAGTAAATTAAGTCTGACTTTCAAGCAGTCATCAAAGTTTCTATGGGTGATATGCTGCTTGGAACCCTTCAGCTAGTTTTCGCAAAGAAGTGATGAGATACGTTACATTCGGATGTGGACATCTGTTTTAAACTTATTGCTTCTGTTCACTTCATATACTACTTTTGCATTATTTATATGTCCGGTAGGGAAGAATGTCGGGGCATCGACCAAATGAATGACGGGTAAGTCATGACAACGAGTAGTAGGAACAATAAACCGGTCTCTGCGTCAACTTATTGAAAGTCGACGACCTTCAAATTGACTGACCCAAATAATTCTTGTGATGTTTCGAGATAGAGAAGCGCCTTGCGTTAACAGTGGGATACAGCTTACTTAAGAATTGCGCGCCCCTAAAACAGGCCACGCGGTAGACACGCTGGACCAACACAGCTGCTAGATGGAAACCTAGCAGGCGTTATCGGGAATACGCACCAATAACAACTGCCAACAGTAGGGATGTGGTTGTTCGCCCAAGTGCCGGTCCACTCTGCGCCAAACGGAATCCGCGCCGCCCCCTATCTAGTCATGTAAAATCCTTGTCAGTTGTACGTTGTGGACCAGGGGGTGTGGTGGTAGGGTTTGGTGCGAGTTTTTGCTGTGCCAATCATCTGCGCCCTCTCTCACCTCCGATCTTGACACTGTTTTGACACCGGGCCTAGGTGGGGATGGAGGAGAGAGTGCGGTAGCTGCCACTCAAGTTTACCATCATCATAAACTAACTCACGCGCAAGTCACCGTCTCTGCTCACACCTGCAGGGGAACATACGGTGGGCATCGTTGAAATCGACGGTTAGACTGTCATTTAGGCATCCCGAAATTTCGGAGTACTGGCATTGCGATGGCAATTTCTGTTGGACGGAACTCGATCGTCCATCTATCGCCTTCCAAAGCAAGTCCTGTTGTGATAGCTTACACATCTATTGCATTACCCGTGTCTGCCAGCGACCTCTTTCCGCTTACATCAATCGTAACCGACCGGTCGCGGGCTGCTCAGTAAAAGGCTCTCCAACTTATTACTTGGAGCCGAGCTAGTGCAGCAAGCAGCAATTAGTGTCGAGCACTACAAAAAGAAACTTTGACGCTTCTTTTCATGCCGCAGGCCTACTTTGAGGCGTTCGTTAACTGCGAGCGGTCCCCGAGACAGAAGTTCATTTACTTGTTTGCCACATCCATAGCGAATAGAAGGTGGACTAGGATGCTCGTACAGGCCAGACGTTCGGAATGTAATTCAGTAATGATTATCGCCCCTTACCACTGGCAATTGGGGTTCATGCCTCAGAGGACTTCAACAGTAGATCAAGGGATTCCTAACTGTCAGCGATTTCAGTGAAAAATCGTCCACGCCAGCACACCTTATTGAATATGTTCACCTTTCACACCTGTCTTTTTGAACCGGGAAAGCCCATTTCTCACAAAATAATACTCCAAACTCTTCTGGCACGATGACTTAGCTAGACGTTTTTTCGCCAAGACTCGTCCTTATCATCAACTTTTGTACACCTGCTGGTGATTTATGCCTGCATGAGGCTAGATACATTTTCAGGTATTTGTTCAGTAGACTCTTTGACTTGCCATCGTGTGATATTTCTCGAAATAATCTCAAACGCTTACTGGCGCAGAATAGTTGCATACCGAATCCGGACTTGGTCTCCTGCTCTTCTCCTTCTCTAAACAATACGCTAAAACCTGAGCGTTTCGGTGGTTGTGTTGATCCAGCGCGATGTTCCATCTCAGCCAAATTCATCAACGGGATCGTATAAAACCAAGATTTTTATTCGTCCCCACAGGAGACTACCTTGAGTTTAATTATACTGATAGTTCCTGGCAAGCTCATCGATGGAATAAGTGGGTACTTCCGCTTCTCCCCGTCCCGGCACCTAGCCCTCTCGAAGGGGTGCTCAGCACGGCGGCCACATCCCCATACCCGTCCTTGACCGGCGCGTTAAACCAGACCAGGATGCTGGATGACTATGTCTGTTTTCATATTCAGCAGTCCCTGAATCAATCCCCAAATTATATCCTATTCCCCAAATTAATGGCCCTACCGAAAGGGCAAAATGAAATCTCCTAGGATAATTGCATTCAGATTTCGAACTATGGGTTCTTCAGTCAGGGTTCTGCGATATAATTGGCCGGCAACTTGGTCAACAATCTTCAAACTTTACAAGCGCAAAGTCATTCCAACCGAGACAATCCTTCAGCTAGAATTGTGTTCTCATCTCAGTCGAAAGTGTAAGCAATTATTAAACCTTTCTAAATGTAAGGAGGCCCTATTATCAATCCACGCTTCCTAGACTGACCTAGTCCTTATTGCCCGACTTCATGTATGAATGCCTTATGACTAGGATATCTTCCATAAAACAAATGTTGCACCACACTAACAATCGCAAATTATGCTGTCTGTCATTTTAAACTGCTGGTTACTTCTCACGGATATAGGCACTTTTGGGGCTAGAAGTTTGTAAATTATTATAGCACTGTTTTAGGCTTATTTGCCCCCATTCAGCCGATCATAAGCCCGACCACCAACCAGAACTAGAAGTGCTTATAACCCGTCTAGTAAGCACCGGCTATGGGCCAACTGAGCCGTGTACGAGCGCATGTTGGCGTTTTTAGTCCCAGCTGGTGGCCAAAGCTATGATTGGCTTCAAGAAGGCAGAAAAAGCCCGAAACAGTACTGCGCCAACCTACTCGCATTCTCTGTCATCCCTCTCCATTGCGATCATATCTTGTTTTGCTTCCATCTGGCAGCCGGTTGCCTGTCCGCGACCTTTGCCGCCAATCCTGGGTCTGTTTGCTTCGGGAAGCCAAAGGATCAGTTTGTGCTAATTGTAGATTGAATATGTACTCATCTCGAGAATGGTCCTGCACTGACGGTCAGTCTGAACTTGTTTATAAAAACGAGTATTTCTATTCCATTTGTGCTAAATTAAGCATGCAATCTCATTTACCAAAGAATAGATGTAAATGATCCTTGAACTGTTACCTTAGCTGACAAACACTGTCATTCATCAGGTTCCTTCGTGCCCCTCCTCGAAAGTGTATTCTCAAAGCCTGACTTTCAAATAAAGTGTAAATCTTCTAATTTGATGGCCAACTGTCGTCGGCTGTACCATCAACATATCTTGAAAATTTTCTTGGAATGCGATATCGACGTAGACAGCATTACTGCGACTTATTAACCAAAGCGAACCCATCACAGACTCAAAGTTCTGGTTTGACCAGGGCAAACTGCCCACCAATTTATAGGTAAATGTCATGCAACCATCCTTTGTCGATGGAAATTTCCCTATCTTATTCGGAAATCAGGACAAGCCACTGCGTCTCAGTTATGTGTGACCGGAACTTTTTACTCCTGTGCTGAGAGCAGAATGACACACAGTCTATATATTCGTGCGCCCCGAAACACCAAAGGGGCTTCTAGCGCACTTCCTCTTTACTCCCTGTTTTTAAAAAAATGACCATCCCTTATTACATGAAAATTAAAACGCGCACGGAGAAAGAATTACTGTGACCAACAAATCGCTGCTATTGATAGTTCTGAAAACAGAACTTAGTTCCCGATAACTCCATCATCCATCAATGTTGCAACCACCAAGTACTAAGTTGTTTAAACAACAATTTTGTTTAGTTAATATATAGCGGCTTTAAGACGTTGGAAGTTTTTATTACTACATAAACTGCGGTCGTCAACTTAGTTTCGGACGTAAACATAGGGTTATTTATTTCAATGTGGTGATCTGCCTGTATGAACTTATGCTCCGTCTATTAAATAACGCCATTAGGGAACCAAGGATTAATAGGAAAGCAATATGGTGGCTGATACCAAGGTATTCCAGAAGCATATAAAAGATGCGGCGGGTCGTTACAGATCAGCGTTTGGTGAGAAAATACAACATCTCCGCCGTGGCTGGCCTGCGCTCAAAGTCGGATTATACTTCAGGGTCTTCCATGAAAAGCTTAGATTCCTTTGTTTATTGGAATTATTTACCAACGAGAAAACATAATGTACAAGAGAATGTGTAAGAAAGATTTTGAGATTCGCCGGATTATTTATTGAATTGTTGATGTAACGTTCAAACTCGGCTCGAAAGTACCCTCGCGTATGCGCAGAACGCCAGTTACCTTAAAAATCCTGCAGATCTCGCAGTCCAAAAATGGGGCCGGTGAAAAGTGCAGAACAAGCATCCTGGCTGACTCTAACAGGAAAAAGCGCGAATGGACGCCGATATATAAGAGTGCAAAAACGAAATACAATGAGATGAGATCGTACTTAATACATCATTGAGGGCCCGAGTGGCCGGCTTTGCTCTGAACTGGTAGATAAAGCTTGAATTCTGCTGGCAACTCATCCTCAGAATACAGCCGATCGCAAAAGTAAACTCTCCTTATCCGGCAATTTGCGTGGATCTGTGAAAGGGTAAAGAGTGTTTCTCATATATTCAACCATAAAAAGAGTATAAGCGCACAGGCACGACGGCAACAAAAAATGGTTTTCATACAGTAAAAAGGAAATGAATCTAACGTATTTACGCCAAATTTCAAAGAAGCAATAAAACGTACATCTAGTATCTTTACAAAAGAAACCTCTCTTAATAAGATCTCTCATTTGTCTGCCAATTAAACAGAGGACAAGATAATTCTCGTGCAAACGCCGGTTCACCAGAAAAGCTTATTTCGCTCAAACAGGACGATCTGTTGCACAATTTATTTGTGAAACTGCACTAAACTATGTATGACTAAACGCAGCTTTTACCCCGGAGGGTTTTAATGTCGAGGTTCTCAGGTAACGTAGAAGTTATAAATGTTGTTACAATTTCCGTGCTGTTCAGATTGAATATAAGTATTAAACAAAAAATGGAATCTCAAAGCACAAATTCTCCGAGAATCGTTTAAGCGCAAATTGGCAAATGTTGCTGTTTAGCACAACTGCTGTGGAGACTGTAAAACAAATAGCATGGAATAAATCATTGCGAAAGATACCCTCGAAGTTACATCAAAACGGGTGCACTTATATGAGATATTTTAGCCGAGATATTTTGAGGACGAAATGACCGATAGCGTCAACCTTGCCTAAAGTGGCATAACCCATTTTACAGCACCTTTTCTGAACGCGCGCCTGTTTCCAGACACGTGCTGAACTTATAGCACCAGATAGTTTGCTCTTCTTAAACAGGAGCATGCGTTTTTAAACGCGCTAAAATGCGTGGTTGAAAATGAGGACATATTTTTCTTTAAAATATTTAGGTCAAATGAAGCAACATGAGCTTTCAAAGGACTATAGGCAATGTTATTTCCCTCGTAATTCAAATCAAGTTCTAGTTTGCTTACAGAAAAACAAGTCCTTTAATAATCAAGATGAGTGACGGGCGTTACTCTACATTAAGCTTTGGTAATGCCGGTTTAATAGAGAGTAGAATGGCCTTACGCGGGTAAAATTTAAGTTTTCCCTAAAAAGTTGAAAGAGTCAGATGACTGGGAATGATATGTCGAAAATGACTTTATGTTTAGCATTGTCAGCACGACATGATAAAGCACACTTAAGTAACATTACATTTTTAGCATTTAGTACTTTAGATACACTTTATTTTGGACCCGCAAAACGCCATTACAGTAACATAGAACCTGAAGCAAACAGAACTCGGGAAATACGAAGTTTTGAAACAAGTACTTAAACGCCATTTAAAACATGAAAGGGGTTGGTGATCGTGCCTTAATTAAAGCCAAGAGGTTTTTACCGACATTTGTGAACTTATTTCAAACCAGTCGATTATTTACGGAACCGAAATCGTGGCAATATAGTCAAAATGAAAACAAGCGAGAATTTACTAGTGATTTCGGTTGAAGCGTTTACAAATAAGGCACTTGTGCCTTAGTACGTGCAATTTAAATACAGCCCGTGGGCCTGCCAGCCTGTCTGATCGTATATGAGTAAAATATCATAATGTGTATATGTCATACATTCCCAAACAGTTAACGCTCTAAAACATGCATACACAAATTCGTGTCAGTAACAAACTTTACAAATAGTTACATTCGCGTTAATCCGCATTTTGAGCCACAATAAAATGACTACATATTTGAAAGTAAATTTACTTTAACAGATGTAAAAACACAGTAAATGGTCGAGTAGATTAAAGCCTGATCGAATTGTAAAATAAGTAAAATCATGACATACCTGGACACGCAGAGTTTCCAGATAGTTTGTACCATAGGCCCTTTTGGTGAAATCAGCCAAGTTGAATTGAATTTGATTCCAGCCTTCATCTAAACGCATCGGCATTGTGCAGATGAAGGGTTTGACTCTGGTTGTACTCTGGTAATTGCTTGCCCGAAACCGCCGTTTTACTTGTTTGTCATCAAGAACCTAAAGAGATTAAATAATATTTTTCTGCTGTACCTGAACTTCGAAAGTAAAGTACTTCTTCAGATTTTTGACAATCATTACAAGAAATGGAAGTTTGATCCCAAGTGTCTTCTTCCGATCATTCGGACAGGATATAAAGGTTGTACTAGAAGTCTCCTGTTTAATAATTCGAACAGCTCCTACCTCACATTTGTTCCCATCACTTCAAGGACAAGCGACTGGATGTCGTTATCGGTAATTCTTTTTATGTGACCATTTTGAACCTTTGCAAAACTTATAAATAAAGTAAAACTGTACATTTTTATCCCATATTTGCAATGGCTTACTACCAATACTGAACAAAACTGAAAGAAATCCACTTTGGAATGTGTTCTTGAACATTATCAGTTAGGTTATGCCGAGGTGTATTGTCATGTGCTTATTGGATGATTGTGTTACTAAGGTCACGAAGACTACGACAACCATATGTCCTTGAAGCCTTTGGACTATAAAAACAAACTTTCCTCTGCTGTAAATGGCCTCAAAAAAAACAGTATATTAGTTTTATATCTTAAGACATACATTAATGACGTGGTCTAGTAGTAGTTTATATCGAAACTATTTAACACTTCAGTTACGGTGTACCGACTAAAAGACTGCATCTCCAGACAGTATATACAGAGGAAATCAGCGCAGATGGACCCTCGAATACCTTTAACTTTTGATAGGTTCGAAGCCGCACAGACCTTATCAAATATCAAATATTGGTTTTTGTGGAAAAAAACTTTAAAGGTGAGGATTTTGTGATTTGATTAGCGGTAGCGAAAATAGCACTAAAGTCAAAGCTCATGTGTCGTTAACGTGGGCTATGAATGACAAATACAAGAACTGAAACTGTAAGCAAATGAACAGTGGTGAAACGTTGTCAGACAGAAGTTAAAACAGAACACGCACTCATAAATGTCGTAATCACCAGCAGGTAGCTGAAGCGTAGCGTCTAAATTCTGACATATTCCCTTACCACTTGCTGTCGACAGACCGGATCTTTCAGCGATCTAACGTTTGCGGGTTTTTATAGAGATGTCAACATTTACTTACGGATCTCGGCTCGTCAGTAGACCCAAATACACTAACAAGCGTTCTGTAAATATAATCGATCACACAGTGGGTATCATCAGAAATCGCAAATGTATCAAAACGTAGATTTAATATCATTAACTGCATTGCACTTCACCCTTTTAACCTAACGGTAACAATCCAACAGTTCATTAACTCAAGCGGCCTCAACATCCGTATAATGTTTACCAAAAGACTTAGCTCAGGAATTTAAAAAAAAATCTTAGTAACCTCTCATTCGCAGGCCTTAGCTTAACTAATGCCAGGTAATCTTCAATTAAACGAAAATTCACCCAGCTTTAAATTTATTTATAGTTTCAGACTTAATATCACCGCAAAAACGATCACTTTATAACGAAGACTTCAAGAATAAACGAGACAATTAATGCTCCCTTCCCCCATTTGAACATTGAACGCGTGCCTCCAACATTAACACTCACAAAAACAATGCAAAAATAAAAAGGCAGTTTAGAGACTTGGGCAAAAACAAACAAGCAAAAGAGGCATTCCAAATCGCCAGTACATCATGGGACAAAATGAACGTGGCGATGCCGTGCCCAGACACGTTACACGGTTAGATAGTAGCATAATTTCCCCAACAATGCACTAAAGTGATCAATTAATTACACGACTTTTTTACGAAGATACATACACAAATTCCAACACGCCTCTTTCAAACTGAACTTGCTCGGGAGGAAACCAAGTTAGTTTGCTAGCCAGAAAAGCGTTAGGGATTACAGCGAGGGAAACAAAGACCCAAAATACGAAGATTAGAAAGTCATTTTTAAACCACAGTCTGTCTCCTCATATTCAGCATTCTAAGCATCCCTCCATCAATGCGAGATCGGTAGTGCATAAAATGATCCAACTTGGGACCTTTGTTGAAATAGATAACCCGAGTATAGTTTTCATTACGAAAACACGGACAAATGAACTAGTGTCGAATGCATTGCTGTATTTCATAAGCTATGCGGCCGAAATGGATGAGCTTGGTTTTGATTGTTTTTCTATTGTTCAAAGGAGACTGGCAGAGCCAAAGAGGTATTATAATAAACTTATTATATTCTATTCTACGACAAAACCGTTCAAATAAGCGAAGCAGAGGATTTTTTTCTGCCACACAACTGCCGTTCGGAAAATCTATCTGATGTTCCCAATACATCTTTTTCTGAAGAAGGGTGATTTGCAAAAACAAAAATCTAGAATCCCAAAAATACCGGTTGCATGCCTCTACTGTCCTTTCCCCCAGTGTGTGACAGTTCGACCATCGGTTTCGATGATGTCCACCGTGTGCCCCACAGTTGCAGCAGCAATAGGAGCAGGAACGGTGACTTACGCAGGGGTTTATAGTGCCAGTAGACTTGTGTAGCATCTACCTACACTCTCTCCTCCTCCCTCGCCTGAGCCCGGTGTCAAGACACAGTCAAGAAGACCGGAGACGAGGGAGGCTGCAGGTGGATGGCTCGGACGGATCCTCACCTTGGCGTTCCACCACACCCCCTGGTCCACAAAACAAATGACCAGGATTTCAATTAATCACAACAGAGATTTGGAGGCTGGCACGGCCGAAGCCGCACCTGGGCGAGCCGCAAACGCCTGGCTCGGATCCCACACTGTGATGGGAGTGCCATAAAGGCCACATTAAAAAGGAGCCATTGCAGCCTGACTCTCAGACCGCCTCCGGTCAAGAAGGAGGTCCAAGTTACCCCGTCAGTTGGCAACCTTCCAAGCCACGGCTTTTAGCGCACCGTGATAGCTTCAAGCGCGTCAGATTGATTATAGTGAGTAGTGTGGCGGTCAAGGATGTGAGATCAACTTAAACCACGCACAATAAGTTCGTTTCGTCTACTGTCAGAAGTCAGGGAGCTGTGAGGAATATTTTATTCTGTACACAGGGCAGGTTGCCGTAAGTTGGCGATTTGCTTGCAACAGAGAAAAGCGTCCGTTCACGGAGAGCGTCAGTCACGGTTTGTGTTGTTTACGCGGGTGTGAGTGTCTAGGTCAGCAGGAGGGGGTGACTGTCTGAGTGGTGGTCGTGTGATTGGACAAATTAGAGGACGAGTGGAGGGCGCATACTCACAAGGCCTCACGGGAATCAAGCCAAAGCGTTCGACGCGCGTTAGGCGATACTAGTTTTTGAGTGCAGCCGGGAGTCACTGCAGCTGGACTGGAGGTGTCCCAGTTCTAGCCGGCGGGGGTGGTCGTGCGTCAGCGGCCTGTCAGTGCTTATCGCGGTCATTGACCGACAAAAGGGAGCCGGAGAAAAGGGGGACTGGAGCAGCTGCTACAGGAGAAAGTGCGCTGAGTCGTCGACCTCACTCTCCCTTCCCACTCCCACACCCCAGCCGCTGTCCCAGCCGGTCAGCAGACTGGAGTGGGGAATGGGTGCGGTGACTGTCATGGTCGACTGACCATGACTGCGCGCGCCACTGCACGACTAGACCCCCCATACACACAACACCAGGATTTCACACAACGGGGATTGAACGGCGTGTCTCTCACTTGCGTGAGAGTGCCGTGGAAGGTGCTGTTTCAGCCCGTCCCCAGCCCACCAGTCCGCCCCTCCACACAACACACACACAACGCGACGAACTGCGTGAACCGAGAGCGGGCGTTAATCGGCAACCTTCCTTTTCACGACGCTTTACGTGTCGGGATAGTCTCGGACTCAAGTCACCGATGCAGCCGAAGCCGCATCGGGACCGAGTCGAGATGCGGACTTCCCACTTGCGTGGGAGGTGGCAGTTGGGTGCATGAGGTGTGTGAGTGTTGATTTCTGGTGGGGTGATGGTGGTGGTGGTGGTGGAGGAGGAGGAGGAGGAGGCAGGGAGTGAGTGAATGTGTGGTGTGACCGGCGACTGTCTACCGCAGGTCGTCGTGGATGCACATGTGGCCGAAGAGACCCATGCGATGCCTGAAGGTGCTCCAGGCACTGGTTCGCCAGTCTCTGTGCGATGGACGCGCAAGTGACCGACCAGTGTGTAGTAATGATTACAGAGGCCTTAGCTACTAGATAACAAAAGTATCAAAACGAAAACAGAATATATGATGATTACGGATGATTTGAACCCCCCAATAGCACGGCTAATTACTGTCCCTAATTACCTTCTACAAAAGGGCTGAAATAATTGAGGATGCGACACGCTTGACATTATTTTCTTCAATGGTATTTGGCTTATCTTTTTGCAATATGGCGCGGAACCTTTGAAAGCAATTACAAGGCCTTAGTATTCATGCCTTGGTAGAAGGAGATACGATCACTGAAAGTGAGAATTTTAATCTTCTTGATCTAGGTACAGTTTCCGCTGACAGAATGCCATTAAATGATAAAAAGAATTTAGAAGACGTCCAGAGACGTTTCACCAGATGCTTAGCTAAATCTAACGACCTTCAGTTCTCACGCGTAGAACTATTCAATAAATACGGTCTTTGATTCCTCTGGATCAGGATATTCAAAATTGCCTCAAGTTCTGATTCAAAGTCACACACGGCCCCGATATACTCAAAATGAATATTCTGACAAATCACAATTGCCCCCGAAATACTAAAAATAGCGATGATATCACACAAACTGTCAAATTCAGCAGGCCAGAGCAACCAAAGTTCTATTCCATAAGGTAAACGGGTATACGAATTGTCCTCCGTGTAATATTAGAAAAAGTCGGAACCTAGCGGAATTTGAGTCAAAACTGATAAATTTATAACAGATTTTGATGTATGTATATTTTTGAGTAGGGTTATAACTTTTGAGTCAGTTCTTCGCGATGGAATTTGGGTCAAGAAGGATCCGATGACGTCGGCCACCAGAACACGCTAAATTATAAGCCTGGAAACACTTAACCGTGAGATGAATGAAACAATTGTAAAAGCATGTCATAAATACAAGCATTCCCCCTTTTTCTTCCTGTTTCTATGGATTGATCTATCAGCAACCAAAAACTTTCATCAACAGATACTAACATGCTATCAATAAACCTACACAGATTCGTCGTCCGTAAGACTAGGAAAGACCACAATAAACCTATCAGCAGTATCATATAGTCAGGGACAATATCCAACTGATGCAATATTATTTCAGACATAATTGGAACGTCGAACCTTCCCAGCTCTTAATCAATCTAACTAACTCAAATTAGCCAGCCCGGTAACAAAATTCAACAGTGCGACCGAATTTAAGCAACTGATCCTACAAAATAACCCAAGACCAAAAGTGGCTGCCCGAAACCAACTCTAAATCAGCTTTACATCAACATTCGCAGCATCCATGATGGACAGAACAACTTTAT